GGTCCCACCTGGCACTAACATAACCACCAGTGAAACTGCACTTCAAGAGTCCAGGTCAGGTCTTAAGTGCAGTTACAAGGAGACTAACTCTTCACTGGGTTGACAAGTTCAGCTACTAACATACTTTTACAGCTGGGTTTCTCAAGTACTTCTTGCTTACTTTGTCAGCACTAGGAATTAAATTAGAGGGGTGGACTGTGCTGTTAAAGAATCCAATGCATTTAGCGGTTATGAGAGCCCTTGCAGTGAAATTGCATACAGCGCGGATTTTGAAGTTACCACTCGGGTTGATCATGTGCCACAGCTTCTATGTGTTTGAGTCTCCAAATTTCTGACACCTGAATTTCAAGGAGTGTTAGTCTTATCCTATGGGCAGTATTTTTCATACTCAAATGAAAACAGTTCAAATGCTTTTTGGGAAAGGGGGAATGAAAAACAGTTAGAAATACGCCTTTTTCCTTACCAAACTTCTTTTCTAAATGAAACAATCATAGCGTGGAAGCTGAAGTTTGTGATGAGGACAGTCTTCTCTGGGAAAGTAAGCTCATTAGGTAGATGCAGTAAGGAAGAGGAAATCTCTGTAGGTATACAGCTTTGCAGTGAGCTAATAACAGATGCAAGTTTATCATTTTGACAAAGAAACCTTCAGTGTGCTTTTTTTTTCCCATGCTACAGTGGTAGGGGATCTTGTTCCCAGCACAGTGCCACAGGTTGTATTCTGCTCCTGCTCTCTTGAGGCACAGAACCCAGGTTTCTCCCACCTGCAGCCCTGTGTGCCAGGAGCTGCAGTCTTGCATTAGGTTTATCTGAAGCTCAGCTCTGTGGTTGATAGTGGGGCTGCGTCTGGCACTGTGGCTATACTGTGTAAATGGCCATGAGTTGAAAGACTGTACTTTTTCAAGTGTACAGTTTTTCAATTCAGGAGGGCACACCTGTTTGTGAGGATTCTTTAAGCACAGGCGTTACTTTTTGTTCTTCTTTTTTTTTTTTACTCCATCCCCTCAAGAAAAACAACTGACACAAAAAGAACCTCTCTACATAGAGAAAAGACTCTTTGGAGTAGTATCAATTGAAGGACATTCACTTTGAAAAGCAGAAGTGATGTAATGCTCTATCTGCATTATTAAGGTTTATACTTCTGCATTACTAATGAGCTGAGACAGACCTTTCTGCTGCTGTGCCTATACCAGTTCCAGTTTCAAAGTTTGCCTGTTTGTTGTTACATGGTGAGCCTGTACAGCAGAGATCTCCTTCTCTGACTGCTGTGACAAAATCGGTCCATGACTTGGTGTTTTCAGACATAAAAGGCCAGAAAGTAATCTGGACCATACCCTAAGCCATCATTTGGATTCTGAAATTGGAATGAGTTCTCTTGACTGGTGTCTGAGCTTATTTGAAAATTCTCTTAAAATTAATGGGTTTTCTTCTTTTCTTTCTTTGGTTCTTGAAAGGGGCTTTCTTAGCATACGTGATTTTTTTCAGTGAGTAAGGGCATCCATATTTCACTTTTTGTGAGTAATTATTTGGGGTACTTTCTTCATCATTGATTTGCAGTTCTAGACGTGAGAACAATGATATGATCAAGTACTTTGAAAATGATCAATGATTGATGTTGTAAATTCTATGTAGAAAATGGAAAAGACGCCAATAAATGTTGCACTTGTATTTTCTCCTACCCTTTCCTCTCTTCCCATAACTAATCCACTGCATGTGATTCTCATTAACCTTCTCCAGTTGACATCAAGTATTCAAGACAAATCAAGCCCTTACAGAGCTTCCTTGCTGCCAAGAAGCAGCAAAAAGGCTAAAATGTTCTGAAATGTTTTCTAGTAACAAATGATTTTTTTTCTTTACTTAATTTTTAGATTGAGTGAATGTGGCCCTTCCAAAAACGGTGAACTAGATCACCACCTCCAGACAGACACAGCAGGGTGAGGTGCCTTTACTTCATGGAATATTGCTGACATGACTTCAGTCATGTCCAGTCGATAGCTTTGCTCTCACATTTTTCAGGCTGTGCATAAATTTAATGGCAAGTAGAAATCATGGGGAAAAAAACCAATCATCAAAACATGCTTACCTTTCTGTGATTTGTTTTTGAAGCATTTACTGAGAGCCAACAGTTGCCCTCCTGTTAACACTTCACTGATGTAGCTCATTTTCATACTCATCATTCCTATAATTTCAGTCCTTGGGCTTCTCGCAAGCAGAATTTCACCAGCAAGCCAGGTTCCTTTTCTCAAGGGATTCAGGACTTTCCTTAAAGACAGGAGAGCTGACTTGTGCTAGCCATCTGGCCAAGATGTACTTGTCTATATACTGCTCATATGTACTTGTCTAAGTTATTCATCTTGAGATCGTGAATTTCTTAGATCGTGAACTGAAAGATATGATTAAGATGGCAGCGATTGGTGTTCTGTGTTTAATGGGGCTTTCTGTAGGTTGTGCTTTGGGTTTGTCTCCAAACTGTAGCTGAAGCAGCTCCTTGCAGCAGTACTCTGTATGTAGGATGTTGTGTTAACTCCAGTTTTTTCACTGCAGTTTTTCAAGATGGCAGCTGAAACAGTTTCATGAGGCTCCATTTCCTTTAGTTGGTGGCTCGTAGTGTGTGCCAGCTATGCCTGCCTTAAGGAGAGGGAGAGCTACATCTGCAAGCATTGTGCCCTGCTGCTCAGCTCAAATGGCAGCATTACATGTTGCCTTCCCTTGTTTTCCTTTTCAATTAGAAGAACGTGCGCAGAGCAGGAGGGACTTTGGGGTAATGCTGATCAACAGCTGTCAGGAGCGAGAAGGGGCTGCACTGTCATGTTTTCGTAGGAGAGGGCAAAATGCTTCCTCATTCTCTACGAGAAAAATGGTTATTTTGGACAAAATTTGCTGTGATTAAGTCCAAGCACCAATTTATTCCTATTTAGGTCATCAGAAAAGGGCTTCAGTGTGCAGTCTGTATTCTAGCTCTCTGTACGAGGCTACATTTCACCCTCTGCTGAATGCTCTTTGTTTTCTCAGTTGAGGTCAGTTTTTCATTGCATTCATTAAAATAAATAGCTCTGGATTACAAATACCACTGCCCCTGTGCTTCTCAGCTGGCAAGCCAGCATTACGGTCCTTAAGATTTTAGGAAAGGGGCTAAAATTGAAAGAGGGAGGAGAAGAAAAATGGAACTTTGGAGGCTGAAGCTGTTAGCGCCCATTTGATGGTTGTGCTCCTGCCTGGTTTGGATGGACTTGCAATTGCTTTGGCTGGATCGCTTCCCCTTTCCTCTGTGTGGCTTTCTAGGTGCTGATCAGAAGAGAGAAGGGATGTTATGTAATGTAAAGATTGTGTAGGGAACAAGGAATGTGTTTCTCAGATGATTCATCTTGCCAGGACACTTTAAGAAAGGTTTCATGCCAGGTTGTGCTGTGCAGGTGTTGTCCTAAGAAAGCTGGGTGTGAAATCTTGTTCCTTTCAGTTCAGTGCTGAAGGTTTCTTTCATTGTGCATGAGATTTGGTGATGCTTGTTGTGCTCTCCCCTTCAATGCTGCCTGCTTCAATATAGCTCATTTTGACAGAGTTAAGACTAACAGTAACTGAGCTCATTTGTGTTTGTAGGATACACGTATGTATGAGCATGTTTGCACGGTGCCGTATCACACGATAGAGCATGTTTCTTGCTAACATTTATGGAGAAGGAATGTGGAGGATTATATAACACCGAAGCCTGAAGAGCTGTTTTGTGTTTATGTTAAGTTTTGTTTTGGTTTGCTTTTTGTTTTACTCATGGGGGATCAAAAATAAAACTTTGGTGAGGAATTGCCCCCAGACTGTGGGACGTTTGAAATCAGTGTTGGATTTGTGTCCAGAATTTATTCACAGCTCGCTCTCAATATGCAACAGTGAGGAAAATCGCTTTGACATTGAATGGGGCAAATTAGGAAAGTTCTGCTGTCATCTTTTTAAAATAAAATTTGAGCAAGTTTTGATTTGTTTCTTTAACGACTTGGTGCGTTGCGTGTGTCTGTATATACAGCTATATGGTTTGTTATTATGAGGTCAAATCCTGACAACTTACTGCAAAATAGTTTTAATTTATTATTAATATTTTCTGTTATTCTCACTTCTCCTGGTTTTGGAACCTTTATAATTAGATATAATTAAAACCACAGGTTTATAATTCCACTCTAGCATTTAAACTTGTATTTATGGCATAACCCCTGGAGTTTTATTGTCATTCCAACTGTATTTTGGAAAAAAAAAAAAAAAAGGAAAAAAACGTTTTCTGCGTTTATACAAATGCTTTGTCTGTAACTACCACTTCTTAATAATTTGTTTTGCATGGTAAAATGACATTTTGTTTTACATGATACAAAGCCTTACAGGTTTGAGAGTAGCTATTTCATATCCCTTAACAAATGAGTGCAAGGGACCTTTTGCCTCGTGCACTTTAAAAACAGCTTTCCTCTTTTGGAACTTGTCTTTCTGCTCCTCCATTCAACAGTCTGAAGTGCTACATGCTGGAGAGCTGATTTTTAAAAAATGTTGGCTGGCATTATGTAAAGCCACATTTTCCCTTTTGGTGCGTATGTTCTGGTCCTAGCAGTGTCCTTGTTTTACAGAAATTAACATTTTTCCCTTCACAATCATTGATGTGTGGTGATGTTTTTCTGTCATCTTTAATTGTGATGCTTTTTTTTTTTTACATTAGTATAAGGTTGATTGTTAAAATGAAGTGGCAGAAGGCTTCTTTCCAACTTATTCAAATATATTTTTTTTTACTGTAGAAATATATTTTGCTGCTCTCAATTGCCTTTTTCCCCTTCTTCTTTTATTGTAAAATACTCTGGGAAGAGCTTCTTTTAACAAAAAAAAAAAAAAAAGAAAAAAAAAGAAAAAAAAAAAGGCTACGCTTGACTGATAATGCATTGCTTTGGATGGTGAAACATTATGAAAGTTTAATTTTTAATTAAATCTGAAATACCAATTATAACTGAAAGAGATTTTAACCTGTTTCTTTTCAGACTGCCTGAAGTTACATTGTAGATGCTGAAATCACTGCACCTTAAAAACAAAAAGATTAAGCTGCACTGCATTCTTGTAAGTAAAAGCTTTTCCGGCACCTTTTGTCAGTATTTTTCCTCAATACACATCCAAAGTGTTAGCACAGTAACTGCTCTTGGATAAAGGTCAAATTCCCCCTGAATAGGATTTAGAAGTTCAAAGGATGTTTCATTTGAAAATTAGAACTAAACTTGAATCTTTCAGATCTTTAATTTCAGACCCCTGAATAGATCTTTCTTTTTTGCTTTGATTGTTATTAGGAAGAGTGTGTGTCTGTTGACATACGGTTCCTATGGCTTTGTCAGTGAGGATTTCTGCACTTTGGAGTACAGAAAATAGAAAATAGTAGAAGGTTCCCCATAGCATAAAATACAGTTTATTCTCTATTTTTGTTGTCGTAATAAATTTTTGTCCCTTATATAAGAAAAAGATGGAATATCTTTCTAATGACATCACAGGAGGCTTCAGCTGCTTTATGACATAGACGAAGGCAAAGATGCCTTATTCATCTGTGCTGCAATACAACAAAGCAGTCAAAAATTATGTCTTGTGTCTCCCAGTAAGAAAGAAGCCTCTTTCAAGGGCACAGTTATTCCATAAATGCAAGGCAGATTGTACATCTACCCTTATTTAGAATGTGTTTACTGAATATGTTTGGGTAAATAATTAAGATTTGGAACTCCTGCGGATGGAGAACAAGCAAGTAAAAGAGGACTGGGAAATGTTGTAGATTCAGCTACTCTGAATTTAACAAAATAATATATGAGTAAAAATCCAAGAGTTTGAAGATAGTAAGAAAGAGTTGATTTTTCAGTTCGACACTGCAAAGCTGTGGAGTATGACAAAGCAAAGTCAGTTTGTTTTCTTCTCTGAGATCAAAATGTACAGTCTGTAATGAAATCCAGCGTCTTTTCCCAAAGTAATACTTCTGTACTTCAATACTGAAATATTTTAACTATTCCATGGTTGGTTTTTTTTTTAACTCTCTGTTCCCCAACTTTTTTTTTTTCTTCAAGTTGTATTTTAATGATTTAGTTTAAACTAGCTGAAGGGTACAGTACACTGTAGGCAGCTAATGCATGCCCCTTCTAGTGTGGAACACCAAGCATGACTCAGGCAGGCAGATTGTGCCATTCTGACTCGAATCCATTGTGTTTTTACATTACTGGCAAGGGCCATGCCATTGTGTTGCTTAAATATTTTGCATTAACTGCAGGCTGTGGCTAGTAAATCGTATTTAACATTTTCTCCTCATCATGGCATATCCAGCTTCCCTGGCCACGAGAAGTTAACCTTGCGATTTAAATGGGATCTGAACTGAGAACACTGGTGGATTTGTTGGGTCCAGCAACAATTTAAAGGGAGGTATTAGGAGCAAGGGGGAAAGTTAGAGGATATTTGTGAATCTGGGAGTACTGAATATCAAAGTTGTCCTTCTATTTTCTGTGAATAACCGGGAGAAATTTTTTTGGAAACCAATAGTAACTCTCTTTCCAAAATGTAACAACAGAGTGAGGACTGAATTAAAGCATGTTGTTTGAATCCTTAGAATTCAAATAGTCTGTAAGTCCTGCATGGAAAGCCCTAATGCAAAATATCGGGTAGTGATATATGGACCTCATAGATGATGCTGGAATGGGCTTTTTTAGTTAGGGAAGAGATGGGAATCTAGGAGCAGGAATAAACACACAAGTGCAGAACTCACAAGCAGGGGAAAAAAAAAAAAAATTAACATGTGTAGGGTGGCAAGCAAGTCAAGGCAGAAATACTGTACAGCTTGGTCCAGATCAGAGTAAATCCAGGGCTGAACTAGAAATGGAGCAGGGGATCATGACTGTAGCTCTTTTCTGTTTGGTTCTTCTTTACATTCCCTGAGGTAGAGATCTAAGCATCTAATCTTTGAATTTCTTGTTTCATTTGTTTTATTTCCCCAATAATACCCCATCTGTAAACTCCTAGCTGCTCTTAAATTGTGTAGCTTTGTCATACAGCCTGTAATAGAGACAAATAAGTTGGGGAAACTTTCTATGCATGCAGATGTATGCTGTAAAATGAGACTGTGATTATTACTATACCTTCTGTTCATGTAACTATAGGGGCACCGTTGTTGTAGACAGTAATATGCTTTAAGAATTTATTTTCTTTCAGATATATGTTTACTGTTATCAGGTGTCTCTAATTCTGAGACCTGTAATGAAGTGAACTTTCAAGTATGACTTTCCTGTGTTAACCTGAAAACAGTAAAAAAAAAAAAATAGAAATAAAAAAAGGCAAGCCATGCTTTGCTAGTTTTCTATTAGAGAACAGGATTGTTTTAATTGAAGGGTGGAACCTTGTTTTAGGTAGAAATATCCTTAAAATAAGTCATTAGTAGAAAAAGGGGCCAAATTTTCAGCTGTTATAGAATGACTTAAATGGCGCTACAGGAAAATACAGATTCACAACACGTGAACATCTGGCAGGCAGCTGCACAAGAACACAGCCTTGTAAATGTAGTGCAGGCATTCTCTTAATGGGAAAGGTCTGTGGGCTTGATTCTTTTTATGTTGGGTGGTCAGATCAGCTATGTACTAAAATTATGTGGATTAACAGGCAACTAGATCCACTGAGAACCACGGGTCTACTCAAATACTTAACTTTAAAGATGTGCTTAAGTACTTTGCAATTAACCCAAAATAGGATTAAGTCCAGTAAGAAGAGTTAGTTACCTCTGCTGACGTTCAACATGTGTTTGATTTTAGAACTGGACAGTGGGGAAAGCATGTTGTCTGTGGAAGAAAATAAATTATGTGCTCACAATCTGAAGACTTATACAAGAGATGCACTGGATGTGCTTTAAAAGTAAATGGTTTTAGTTATAGCTGTTTGATTTTAGGTGTCATTGGCTGAGGCCAACAGGAACATACAACACAAATAAAAAAAATAAAAAAAAAAGATTTTTTTTCAGTTTCAATCTTACATGGCTTTGTGGTCTGTTTAATGACCAAGAGGTCTGGAGTTTGAATTTTGCTGGATGGTGGCTCATTGAGTGGCTCTGGACAGATCATTTAACCTCTCTGCACCTTGTTTAGCAGATTAGTTTTTCAATCTGGTTATGACTTCAGTACTGATACAGCTCTGTGAACATTATTGAGTTTGTTTTTGCAGAGCTCTTAGAGGAGAAATAGTAACCATTGTTATCATTAATAAGTGTATTGTGTAGACAAAACATGAGGGACAGAGATACAGTCACTCACAGAGGTGATCTTTCACAACTCACTTGTGCCTTTGTTTAATTCCATCACTCAAAGTTATCAAGGCCAACTCCAATTTATAGAAGTATTTCTCATGTCACTCTTCCCACTGTTGAGTATTTTATTGTTTGTGTGTTCTCTCTCCATCTGTTTTTTTGCTTCATGCTGAATTAACCTTGCATACCAAACCTTATTCCCCCTTTTTTTTTTTTGTATTATGCAGCAGAGACATTCACATAGCCTCAAAATTACAGAGAACAAATTCATTTTGTCTACTGATTGTTTGCTGATGATGTATGAAACAGACAGAAGACAGTTTGAATTTTCATAAGTTCAATTGAGCTTGCAGGCTTAAGGAAGGGAACAGGCAGAACCCAAGCCAATGTGACACAGTAAGCTGGCATCCCAGAGTATATGCAGCATGTATAGCGTCAGGATGTCAAGGCTATACAGGACTTCATCCATCAAAGCAGTGCTTTTAAATGAAGGAAGAATTTTGAAGCAAAAAACAAGCTACCCCCCTGTGTTCTTCATAACACAGGGGTCCTCGTGTTTTCTGATGGATACAGGATCTTTCCTTTCCCTCCTATACCTTGCAGTTTTAACTAGAATTGTGTGTCTAATGTTAGTGTTGTTGAGCCTTGTACATTCGTGGTTGCTATTCCTCGGACAAGATTTGAACCCTGAATAGCTCACTAAGACCTTTTTGGATGCAGAAAGAGTAGCTGCGCTGGAGAAGATGTCTGAATGCGAAATAAATATATAAGTATGCTTCTTTGAAGAAAGATAAGTGTCTTGGGGCTGGCTGTCACTGAGGAATTGTGTTAGCACTAACAAAGAGAATTAATTTTGCCTTTTCTCCCCTCTTATACCAAGGCATTAATCCAGAAACTCATGGGGATAAATTCTGTCCTGATTTTTACCTGTGGAACCCCAATGGAAACAGAGAGAGGTCATAAATGTTTGTCAAAGCAAAAATTGTCCTAGTGTTAAAGTTGTTGAGAAAGTAGAAACTGGTTGATTGTTACCTGGTTTAGGGGCATGAGGGTACGTAGAAGCCCTACATGGCATCTTATGCTTCCAAAAATGTTATTTTTATTGTATACGTTATGCAGGGGAAAAAAAAATCTAGTGAGTAAAAAGTTATAACCAGGAGCACAGTGATTAATTGTTCTTCATGTCCTCTGGGAGAAAGACCTGAAGAAATCAGTTCAATGAGCAGTGAAAATTACCAAGGTACATATTAAGAACCATGTTCTGCCTGTGTAGGCAGTAAAACTGTGGAATACCCTACCTCTAGGTACTGTGGAAACTGGGGAAGTTTATTTTTTTGAAGAATGGCTTGGAAAACCACCTCAAGAGTAGGCTGAGGTGGACTGGAGTAGGTGAGGATAAGGTTGGACCAGATGAGTTTTGTTTTATTCCCTTGCATTTCTCTAATTCAGCATACCATTTGGAAATGTTGGTATGTGGCGAGTACGTTCCTGATTAATAAAACTTAATGTTTGCAAAAATCCCCAGGGTTCTCATTTTTCCATCCTCTCATAACTAAAACCATACTGTCTCTTCAAAGATTTCAGTTGGACTGCCAGCATTTTGTTTTGACCCTTCTTTTTTTAGAGAAAAAAACAGGGGAGGGAGTCATACACGCACCAAGGGACAGATGTTTGGTTGCTGTGCATCTGTATGGTTTCTTGACAGCCAGTGTACTAATCCTGATTAGATTCAGTTCCTGTTTTTGAAAAATTGGATGAATGGAAACAGTCCAGGTATAGTCTGGTACAAAGGCCCGTGACAAAGATT